AGGAATGCCTGAGAAGGAACTGCAGCCATACCACTCAGCTTCAGGAAGCTGGAGAGCAGGTGGGATGAAGAAGTGGATTTGGTGAAGAGGCAGAGCTCCTGTGCACACACAGGACTTGGCCAAGGGCTGTAGCAGATGTGGCTTAACCCATGTCACTGAGCTGTTTGGGATCTGTCTCCAGCTCCTCCAGCACTCATTCCTGACAGAAGACTACAACAATTGGTCCCACGTAAGGAGCAGGGAACTGCTGCCAGCATTAGCACAGGCTTCAGCACCACGGGTTTCCATTGCACTTTTTATCCCATTCATGCACAAGGCAGAGGTCAGTCGACTTCCATCAGCCTTGCTCTGGGCCCTCAGAGGTGCTCAGGCTCCCTCAGCACAGTGACCTTGTGCTTTCTGTCTCTGTGCTATGGTGGGTTCCTCCTGCACAACAACTCTGCCTCCTTCCTTATGCTGGCCAAAGAAACTGTGTTCACTCTCAGCCAGCATATGGTGACAGAGGCCAAGCCTGGCCATGGTGGTGATGGCCTCCAGACCCTACAAGGGATGACACCGGCCTTGCAGGTCTTGGTGGGTCTTCATTGTGGATGGAAGCCTTGTGTCCTCATTCTGAGGACTAACTGAATCCCCTTCCACTCAATAGCAGTGCCTGATCTTCAGCCCCTCCGAAGAGGTTTCCACCTTTCCAGCACTCCTGGAAAGTGCTCTCCAAGAGCCTTTGGGGTCATCCAGAATCACCCTGGGGAAACCTCATCTGAGCCAGCAAAGGGAATGCAAAGCTGAGGCTCCTTCTCAGCACAGGAACACACTCCAAGGAAAGGCTCTGGAAGGGATCCTGATGACTTCCATATTATTTCCAGTAAATTTTGTGCTGATTCTTGGCACAAACACCGGAAATGAACAGGCTAGGTCAGGAATGTAAATAAAGTGAAACATTGGGATTTAATCTAATCTATAATTATAGTATCTGTGGCACAGGGAAGAAGTTGGTGTTTGCACTGCAGCTCCATTGAGGAGCTGGAGGGGGTTTTCATTTCCTTTCCAAAATTTCCCTGTTTGGCTGAGGGATACTTGGTACCTCCCCAAGTATCTGAAATGAACGTGCTGGGCTGGCAAAGCTTCTTTTCAGCAGCCAGTCAGGTACAGCCCAGTGAGGAGGCATCCCCAGGCACTCAAGGAATGATGAGAAGAGAAGCTGAGATGGATGAGATGGGCTGAAGGCTCAGGGAGGCTGTGGGATGCACAAGGGAAGCTCCTGTCTCCACAGTGAAGAGGTCAGTTGAGTTTGTAGGGTGCTGAGCTATGTAAGGGCCATGCAAGCTCAGCTCTGCAGGCTGAGTTTGACCTCTGAGACAAACCAGAGCCCTTTCTCTTGACTGGTGTTTGGTGCTTGGTGCATCTCAAGTTGCCTGTCACAGCATGGTGCTCCCAAGCTCCCAAACCATCAGTCTGATTGGCGTTAGCCACTATCCAGACTGGCTGGTCCATGAAAGATGAGCACATAACAGACACATAGACACCTCTCCTTCTGCCTTCCTCACCCCATCCTCTTCCAGATCCACCTGGGAGGAAGCCTGACAGACTGCTCTGGCCTAGCTGACCTTCGGGGAGAACAATCCCCTCTCCTGTGACACGTTTTGCAGGAATTGTAAGACTTTTGCTTTTTAAGAGCTTCCACCACACTTGACACTCTTCAAGGATCATCCTCAGTGTCCCAGTGTGCCTGCACACGAGAGCACTCACATGGCCACAGCAGGGACCCCACGCAGGAGCACCCCTGCCCAACAGACCAGGAGTGTCCACACATGTACTGGAGCCCACGGAGCACACACATCTCTGCTGACATGAACTACTTTCCCTCCTCAGCCCCCCCTGCAGAGACCAGCACCTCAGCCCCACTGAACTACAGGCAAGGGGAAGAAAAAGTTGGGGACAATCATTTTCGCAGGGTCTGTTGTGACAGGACAAGGGGGGATGGTTTAAAACTAAGAGGGAGGTTTAGACTAGAAAGAAGGAAGCGATTTTTGCCCCTGAGGCTGGTGAGCCCCTGGCCCAGGCTGCCCAGAGAGGTGGTCACTGCTCCATCCCTGGAACCATTCCAGGTGAGGTTGGCTGGGGCTCTGAGCAACCTGCTCTGGTTGCAGATGTCCCTGTCCCTGCAGGGGGTTGGACTGAATGACTTTTAAAGGTCCCTTTTCCAAAACAAACCATTCTATCATGCTATGAAAGGGCTGACAGGCAACATGTTTTCCTCAGACTGAAACTGCAAAGGACAAAGAAATTAGTTCTCCTTTTGTTAGTTTATGTTTTGAAACTACAGAAGGCTCTAAAGCAGAGGAATCAATCAGGCTTTGTTTGTTTGTTTGCTCATAGAGCATTTTTTGGGTTTGTTTTTCCTACTCAAGCCCAGCTTTGATCTCAGGCTGGTAATACTCCAAACGGATGGTCAAGAGCAGAGTGGAGCTGCCGTAGGTACTACAGAAGGGACAGGATGTCCAACAGGTTTATGGAGCAGAAGATACTTCCACCAGCCTCAGGATTTTCCCATGTAAACAAATAAAACCAGCAGAAGAAATTCCATTTCAGAAATGACCTCGTGCCTTTCTCCTGTTGCCACATCCATGTGGGTCTGCTCGGACTCGAGCCTCCCAGCTCACTGCTCTGGCACTCCTCCTGCAAGAGCACAGACATCTGAGGAGAACAACAGTTCACGTGTGTGCCCACGGACCTGAGAGCATGCTGCTGCCCAGGAGGCACGTGCTGGATAGAGCCCAGGCTGGTGTGGGGCAGGATGGAGCCAGGGCAGCAGGTGGGCACCCCGTGAGCAGTGGGGTGTTGGTCTGTGCTGGGACACGGAGCAGCAGAAGCCAAGGGGGGGGGTGTTGTTCCATGGGTGCACACACGTCTCTTTTGATGCCCAGGAGTGTGGGTCCCTGCCCCACAGGTGAACGTGTGTCCCCACACGTGCACACAGCCCTGGGAGCAGCGTGCCAAGCCCTGCTGAGCTCCAGCTGTGGGGTGGAGCCAACACCCCGTGTCACCCAGGGCCTGTCCTCACAAAGGATGAGCTCCAAAGCTCCTCGACGCCAGGAGACTGCTGCTTGCAGCTCCCCACAAAAACCTCCTGTCCCTCACCCAGAGGCACCCACAGAGAGCAGGAGCTGCCCACAGCCCCCCCAGGACACCAGGGACTGCTGACTCTGCTTGCCCCTCTCCATAGCCAGGCGCCTCACAACTGTGAAGCAGAAGCTTGGCTTTGACCAGAGGGATGACAAAACCCTGGACAAAGCCTTCTGCCTCCCATCCAAGGCTGTCCCAGCCCTCTGCAGACACCAGGAATTAGATCAGAGCCCCTGAAGGGACGGGTGAGCACAATTATCCCTGCCTGGCAGATGGGGAAGCTGATCTGGCAGCCCAGGCTGCCCAAGACCCAGACCTCCTGGCTCCCAGCTCCATGTGCTCACCTCAGCAGCAGCCTCCCCATCCAACCCAGCGACTCTGCCCTCGCCCAGTGCCCCTGGCAGCCACAAGCTGAATGGCTGAGAGCTCACAACTGGCTGATTTTATGGGCAGAGGGTTATTACCAAGCCCTGTGGTTGCTTCAGCTTCTCCCTGGCACCTTTTCAGAGCAGCCCAAGTCCCAAAGATATTAATAGTTATATTTATGCATTATATATATTTAACAAGAAAACATTTAAAATTATTAAATGGCAAGAGGTGTCACTTGGAGCCTGCTCCTGGACCCAGCCCTGCTCCAGAGATGCTCAATAAAGGCTCCTCCTTCCTCAGAGGCTGTCAGCATACTTAACTGGAGGGTGGTGCAGGGGGAGGCAAAGGGAAAGTATTAATCAAGACCTTAAAAAGTTCTTGCTGACAGACCATTTGCCAGCTCTTGCTTTAAATGTTTTTGTGGTCCCATAAAAAGTTTCATTACTCGCTACAAAATGTGTTTTAATTATTACAGTCACTCTGACATTAAGCCCTGGGTGTTTCTCTCTCACTTGCTCTGTCTCTCCTCTGTCTCCCTGCTTTTTTTCTCTGTTTTTTAACTTACTGTGTCGACTCCTGATATCCCCCTCAAGACAGAGGATGCCCTGGCTAACAAGCCAGGATGAAAAGCCCAGAGCCCCTCCAAATGACACTGAAGGGGAAGTTAATACTCAGATCCCAAAATTATCCCTGCACTTTGCACACTAATTAATCCACAGGATTCAAACAGAAAATCCAACCCCATGCACTCAAAGAACATCTCAGAAGAGTCAAGTGAAGAGGAACATCAGCACAGGCACAGCCAGCCATCCCTGCCAAAGGAGCTGGGTGGTGGGCAGATGGATTTGGTGTCTCTGATCTGCTGTCAGTGTCCTACTAATTGAAACAGCAACTTACATAAACATCACCTCTCACACTTCTGACATTTGGCTATTTTGGTCCACCAGGAATTTGGCAACTTGCTTCAGTCTGACCCCAAGAGCTCAGTTCATCCACGAGAGACGACCCTATCCACCAGGCATGGACCTGGGGGCCCAGAATCCTGCAGATGTGAGTTATTCCAGAGAGGTCTCCTGCAGGCTCCCAGTGCCTCCAGTGCTGTACTGGCAGACACTGGTTCTCAATCTTGCTATCTGAGCACGCCACCCAAAGCAACAGGAGTCTCATCATTTCCCCAGTGTCTGATGTGACACAGTGCTGACCCAAGAGGTTAATGACAATTAAACAATATCATCAGAGATCCCTCCTTGCCCCCAGCACCTCCCCACACGCCTCTCCTTACTTGTACAGACCGTCTGGTTCCAGGCACTTGAAAATGACTGAATAGAGGCTGGTGTCAGGGACATCTCCATGGCTCCTACCCGCTGCCACACAGGACGTTGCCAGGCCAGAGAGCAAATCATCTGCAAAGCTCAAGGATTCTCCTGGAGAGCAAAGAGATGAGGAAAACTGAAACATCGACACAGGCAGAAGATCACTGCTGACCATTTACAGAATCCTGCAGGAAT